GTGGCTCATGCACTCAGCTGGGTGCTCTCCATCTCCATCCAAACTCCACTGGTGATCCCCTGGGAAGGCAAGGATGGTGTTTGGTCCTGTTTTTGTACCCCTTTCTCTTTGTACATCCTCTCCCAGGAAATTTCAGCTGGCCTGGCTTTGTTCTGGTCTGTGGTTGGGCTTGTCCACCTCTGAGGTCATCCTGGGAGAGAGCATCACACCCAGGCCTGTGCAGACACTCCAGGGGAAGGAAAAGCTCTGGTTGCAGAGGGAATATTACCCACGGTTTTGGGGTTGAAAGGAAAGCACTTTGCTCTCTCTCGAATGTAAATCCTGAGTTGCAGGGGGAGGAGAAGGAAATTTGCACATCAAGGTCTCTCCATCAGCGAAGGCTCCTCCAGCCCCGTGGCCAGGCTGTCACTGCCTGTTTGCCTTCCCCAGCACAGCAAAGGACATTTATTTAAAACAATTTCTCCCGAACAAATAAATACAAGCCCAAGCCGCTGTTTCTCCTGGTTTCCTCTCTTTTCCCCTTTCATCCCTGTGACATCTTCCTCCAATAAATCCTCCCCTTCCATCCCATTAGAGGCTGCTCCTGGACAATTTGCAGCTGTGACAGCCCKGGAGATGCCTGGGGCCTGTCTGCCTGGCTGACAGCTCGCACACGTACCCGGCTTTGCCGTGTTTGCTCCACGGAATTGTCTCATGGCTGTGCTGCCCCGGCCACAGCGGGCTCCTGCCTTCCTGTCCCGATTATCCCTGCGATGCTGCACAAACCCCTCCACCTCCTCCCATCACCGTCCTCCTTCCCCACCACGGCTTTGTGGCGTGGCAAACCCACAGCGTGGGGGTTTAACAACAGAATCAACCGCAGCACCGCGGTCCCACTGCCCGGATAAGCCCCCGGCCGGCCCGGGATGTGGCGGGGATGGATGGATGGATGGATGGATGGAGTGAGCGCTGCCAGCTCCGCAGGGAGGCGCGGGTGGCGGAGGGCTCTGCCGGAGCTGGCAGCGCTCGGATGCCGGATGCCTCCGGGCACAGCATTTCAAGGGCACGTCACGCTCCAGCCGGGATGCTGCCAGCAGCCCTCCCCAGCACTGGCTGAGCCACTCGCTTGACTCCTTCCAGCGATTTTTTTTTTTTTTTAGAGGCAGCCAATCGCTCCGAGGGAGTCCCGGAGTAACGAGAATTGGCAGGAGCAAAGAGATATTAGGTTTATTCACCACCAGTTTTAAATGATTTAGCATAGCAGAAAGGCCGTGGTTCTACAAGCAGCGTGTTCTGCTTTACCCCTGCCGTGGTTCCTGTTAAAAGGGTTTAGGGGTGAGGGGGAATGGGGGTATCTGTGGGTCTCTGTGTCTGGGGGGTTGGCACAGGGATAAGCAGATCCAGAAAATGGGGACAAGGATTTGAGCCAAAGCTCATCCCCCTCCGCAGGAGCTTCCACTCGCTGCAGGCTGGGACTGGTGAAGGATTTTTGTCCCGTTGGAAGCAGACTGTGGCTTTGGTTTAAAAATAAAGCCTTAAAAAGGCAATTTGGGGAGCTGGCCCGGGGATGCTCTTTGCGCAGCAGAACGCGGCTCCTTGGGGATTGCTGAGAAAAGTCGCGGGAGAAGTTAAACTTTCACCCTGGCAATTATTGTAAATCTCTCTGGTCAAGGCCCAGACCTAAAATTAGCCCACGAGCCCTTTTAGAGGTTGGGATTTTTCACTTGATTTTTCCAAGTGACCGACCAGCAGCAGAGCCAACCCTGCCCTTCCACACTCAGAGCCCTGGGGTGTTTTTTAATTGCAGCCTCCGTGTTTGATGGAAGCAAGGCCAGGCGTTCCAGCCTGGTTTTACACATCCTGGAACAAGCAGCATCCCGTGGAGGGGAGGCAGGAGAGAGCCTGTTATGTACCAAAGCCTTTGCAATCACAAAGGGTTTGTCCTGGTTGATGAAAGAAATGCCAGCCCTTCCCTGGGCTCCTGGTTTTGCTCTCGAGGGATGGTTAGTAAAATGCAGGAGTTGGTAAAAGCTGGATGCTGGGCTTTCTGCTGCCTCTGTGGGAGCAGCCAGATCGTCTGCATGGCCCTTTTCCTTTTGGGATGGTCTGTAGGGTCCCGTGGCACAGGCAGGGCACAGCAGCAGCCAGGGCTGCCGGATCCGCTCGGCGCTGCTCCCGGCCCTGCTGCCGATCGATAGTGAGTGCAATGAAAACCTTAATGAAATTCCAGCCTGAGAGACTATTGATTGTGTGTTTTCTTTAAAAATGGATATGAATGGGAGAGAGGCTTTTTGGAGGAGAGGCAGGGAAAGGGGGGGGAGGGTGTGGGAACATCGTCAGCTGCTGTGGGAGGTGGGTGAAGGTGGGTGGCCCAGGCTCTCTGTGAGCATCAGCTCATCCTCTGAACACCCCTGGGAAGGGAATTCCAAAAACATTTAATGATCTGGTTTGGAAGGAGCCTTACARATCATCTCATTCCATGCCATGGGCAGGGACACCTTCCAYTATCCCAGGGTAYTCCAAGCMCYGTYCAACCTGGCCTTGRAAACGGGACCGRCCAACAGCAGGAGGGAGAAATCATCCACCCAAAATCACCACAATCCCAGCCATGGTGGAGAAAATCAAGAGCCTGTCCCAGGTGTGCCTCCTTTGCAGTGCTTTTGCAATGTCCACCTTGGTCCGTGTTTTGTGCTGCTGCTGAAAACACACAAAAAAACCCCAAAAAACACACACAAAAAAACCCCAAAAAACAAACAAAAAAAAAAAAAACAAACAAAAAAAAAAAAAAAAAAAAAAAAAAAAAAAAAAAAAAAGGGACCAAGAAGAAACCAAAAAAAAACCTGCTTTGGGCAAAGAAAAAGCAAACTGTGCATCACTGTGTGCCAGCTCTACAGCAAACCTCCCTCCTTTTTCCCCCCCAAATCAGCCTCTCCCCAAATCTCCCCAGAATACACCCAGCAGGGTAAAGAGATGGTGAAGAACCATAATAAATAAATAATAATAATAATAATGACAAAAACCCACTCTCTGCCTCTTACATAACCATCATTGTCTTAATCCTACAGGTGCTTCACAGAAGTAAAAAGGATTTGTTCCTCCTGCAAATCCTTTTTTTTTCTCTTTTTTTTTGGTGACTCATCTTTATCTGCCCATGGACACGCCATGGGGAGGCTGAGGCGRCGCTGTGCAGGGTCCAGAGGCAGCATCCATCCCATAAACCTCTCTGGGCTTCAGTTCCCCTATCCTGGGGTCTGGTCCATCCTAACCCCCCCATCCTGGGGTTTGGTCCACCCTGATTCYCCTTGTCCTGGGGTTCAGTCCTGAATCCCCCAGCAGGAAAAGTGCTCAGAGATGGGCCCCAAAATCCATCTGCAGGATGGCAAAGGCAGGTGCTGGGTTCAGACCCCAAACTTCTCCCTGGAGCCATTGCAGTCACTCCACCCTGCCCTGTGTCCCCCGGGGTTGTGGCTGTGGGGGGATCACCCCAAACCCCTTTCCTGGGCAGTGCAAGGACGAGTGTGGGGTGACAAATGGGGTGGCAAAAGGCTGCAGCCCCTTTCAGGGCACTGCCAGGATTTGGGGGTCTGGGGGCATGAAGAGTCAGCACCCTGAAAATTTAGGGTGCTGCCCAAGGATCTGCAGTGGCCCCCGGAGGTTTGGGGTGCTCGTCCGAGGACTTAGGGCTCTCCTGAGGATTTCGGGCGGCTCTCGGGTGGGAGTTGAGGTGCCATCCGAGGACTTGGGGCGTCCCCTGTTATTTGGGGCAGACACGCCCCCAGGGCAGCCCCGCTCGGGGGACGGAGCGCTGTCCCCCTCTGCCGGGGGTCCCGGAGCGGGGCCGGGCGGGGGCGGCGGGGCCGGGGGTCCCGAGGGTGTCCCGGGGGTCCCGGAGCGGGGTCGGGGTCCCGAGAGTGTCCCGGCGGCTCCGGGCCGGTGAGCCCGCCCCGGGCAGGT